TTTTCTGACAGGCCATGGGCAGAAAGATAGAAGCGTAAATCTAACCCTCGTTCGTCACGTCAAAATGAGATGAAGAAAGTGGCAGTGGTTCATGGTGCGCCAGAATTGAAGCATGACGATAGCAGTGAACGACAGAAGAACGACATCAAAGAATGGCGGTATTTCGCAGAACTATACGACATGAAGAATGTCGTGACTTTTGACGTCACCCCTCTAATTGCTTCCACAAACTACCAAGGTAACCGGACACGAATTTTGAAAGTTACCTTGGCTGCGCCCGAAATGGTATCAGTGGCAATTCAAGCATAGCATGACAAAAGAAACTTGGGCCACAAGAAGTACGGTTAAGACCATTCCTTCAATTAGTACAGACCTCAGATACAGATGAGCCAGCCTCAATTGTACCTATCTCAAACCAGCCAACTGTGCAAACAACCGTTTCAAGAAACTTCAGCAGACCGGCATTATTTGTGCCGGTCACTCACAGCGAACCGAGCACCTGATGCGTCAGTAAATACGATGCTGCTACACCAACACTCAGGGGTTGTAATCTAAGCTCTCGGAGCTGCGCCATAGACATGAAACAACAACTTGGTACCTCACAGCAGTTACTGAAACTCGGATCTCAAACGACATACTTGATCCAGAGATTGAACTCAGTGAGATGTCAGTCATTCGAAATGATCGTCCATCTCGCGGTGGCGGTGTTGCTCTCTACTATCGAGATTATTTGAAATTTGAAGCTCTTACCGAAAATTCCCTTGTTATTCCCGACGCACTATTTTGCCGACTGCACCTGGTTCACAGAAGAAGAGTGATGCTTGCCTCTTAGAAGTTATTTATAGACCTACGAACTCATCAGCAGACAGCGATAACATTCTGTTAAACGCCCTCCGCTATGCTGTTCCACAAAAATACTCTCACTATCTTATAATGGGTGACTTTAATGTTCCTTCAATAGCATCAATCTCCCTTAATGGGCTATCATTTAAATCGAAACTCCTCGAATTCATGGATATAGCAGTTTTGTATAACCATATGCATTGACCAACCAGACATCGCGGTTCAAACAAGCCATCACTCCTGGACTTAATCCTGACTAATGAAGAGTTGATGGTTGAGTCAGTAGCATACGATCCTCCACTGGGCCGTAGCGACCATTCAGTCCTAACATTTGGTTATGTATGTTATGCCAGTATTGTTGCTAAAGAAAGAGACGCAACGCACTAGTACGGACTAATAGAAACTGCGCAGCTTAGCAGCAACCGTTGACTTGGACCTACGGACACACAGCTCAGCGAATGGCTCGTGGAATGAATTGAAAGACAAAATTAACTGGGTCATACAATCAGCATCGAAGGTTGTACCATTACGAGCATCGCGCCGGACCAATACGTGGATCCGGAGCAGAACACGTAAATGGATCAACAGAAGAGATGAAATCTGAAGGCAACATTTGCTAGACCCATGTGATATCACATGGCAGGATTACAAAGTAATCAGAAACTACTGCACGTCAATCATTAGAGTCGATAAGTACGAATGGCAGGAGAATATGGTGCTGAAATTTACGAGTAACACCAAACTGCTCTACAGATTTGTGAATGGCAAAAGAAAGGTTAAGCCCGGAATACTTCCACTCAGGAGGGCCAGTAGCCTAACAACTACTGCTGTGGATGCCGCGAACGCTCTACTCTTGCAGTTTGGTTCTTCAGCTGCAAATGTCATGGGACCTTCGTCCTATCAACTCCCAACAAACGTCGTTGGCTTATCCAGCGTCACCTTTACTCCGGCAGCTGTTGCAAGCAAACTACAGTCTCTCCGGGAGTACAGTGCCCCTGGAATCGACACGATCTGCCCAAAAGTACTAAAAACTCTTGCTCCCACCATAGCAGCACCACCTGCAACCTTTTTCCAGGGTCTGCTTAACTCCCATACACTCCCATCTAAGTGGAAAAATGGAATTATCACTCCAATATATGAAGGAGGTGAGCGCTTGGATCCTGCTAACTACCGACCTATTACTCTCCTTCCTGTTTTGTCAAAAGTTATGGAATCGGTAAGCGCAGATGAACTGACGAGATACTTTGAAAGTCAACAGATAATTTCTAATGCCCAACATGGGTTCCGACGCAGACAATCTTGTCTCACCAATTTGCTGATTACTCGGGACTTATGGACCAGGGCGGCTGATGAAGGAGTGCCCATATATGCGGTATACCTGGATTTTTCTAAAGCATTCGACAGGGTCAATCACTTCTTTCTCCTCCAAAAGCTTGCTGCCTACGGTATCAACAGTTCCCTGCTCATCTGGTTGAAAGACTACTTACACGACAGAGCAATCAAGGTAAGAGTAGCCGACACCTATTCTGAAAGCCTTTACGTCACCAGTGGTGTACCACAAGGATCCGTCCTCGGCTCGCTAATGTTTTTAGTCTACATGCATGACCTTCCAGCAGACATTCTATCTCCAATGCAAATATGTGCAGACGATGATAAAATATGAAGAGCAATTCGCTCAGCATCCGACCGTGGCTACCTCCAGGAATATCTGACCCGGATTAACGAATGGGCAGAAAAGAACCAGCTCCCACTGAATCCTGCAAAGTGCAACCTGCTGACGATACACAACAGCTTCGTTAACACATACTTTTTGGGGCAACACGTCATGCAACATGTGACTAGTGAACACGACTTAGGTATAATCGTGCAAGAGAGTCTTGGAAATTCGCTCCAATGTTCGAAAGCAGCAAGTGTGGCGAACTTGAACTTGAGACTTTTTGAGGCGAGCTTTCGGCACTTTTGAGCGACAGCTAGTACCATTGTTGATTAACTCCTACATTCGTCCTCATGTTGAATATGCAATTCAGGCCTGGAGTCCATGGTTCAAACGAGACATCCGCCTCTTGGAACAGCCCCGAAGAAGAGCCACAAAGGCAACGCGTGGACTATCTGGCATAAGTTACGAAACGTGTCTTCGTGTACTCAGTGTGTTCTCATTAGAATACCGACGGCTTCGCGGAGATCTTACTCTCACATCCCGGACACTAACCGAAAGGGAGCATCCATGTACATCACTGTTGACTCTAGCCCCATACAAACAAAATCGAAGCAATCACCTGAAACTATTGATGCAACACCCTCGTTTGAATTATAGAAGGTATTTTTTCTCACTTAGAATCTGTTCTCACTGGAATGCATTGCCAAACTATGTGGTGAACGCACCAGACATGACGACATTCGAAAGACTCTTAGATTTTTATCTTAGTGATAAACGATACACAACACTTTGTTAAAGTGCAATGATTTAACCACTGATACTTTACTTTCCACGTTGAAACATTTTGATTTTAATTTTCTTTTGCATATCCATCCTGTGCGTCTTGTAAAGTTATGTTTTTCATCCCATCATACACCATTGAACCATTGAATACACTCCTTTGTGCTTTCTATTAGTGAGATTTTAGTGTTCGACATTTGCTTATTGATATTGGTCTTCTGATAGTAGTACTTACGAAATAACCGAGTATGATCCTAACTAGTAGAAGGAATAAAAATACTACGTAAAACCAAAGTTAGGCCCGTCCATGTACAGTCCCACCTTACTTGGTTACAGTTTATCATTTTTAGCATGGAAGCGGTTCAGTCAGTTAGAACATGAAATATATCTTCTAACGTTTTGTTTGCACCAAATTCTCCGCTGTCATATCCGGCTATTGTTTTCGAAGGAAATTGTTCTGAACCATTCATTCTGAAAGAGGAAATCGGAGTCAACCCAGAACCAGCAAGATTTTGTCGCAGATTCCTCTGAAGTAAAGCCACGTGAATTGTTAGAATCACTTACCAAACACAGCAGAACCAAATCAGCCTTGTTTACTTAAATCAGCTCTTGCGTAAATGCCTGTTTGAGTCAGGCAATCTTGTGCTTACCAGCTAGATGGCTTTGCTACTATCGTTGATGTTCTAATGAGCCGCGGGCAGCGCTGCAAGGGTTGACGCATGTCCTGCCAGCCCTATCGCAACTTACTCCAAATTACTGCCTCACGTCAAGTTGTTCCCGCAACGTGATGTAGACCAGAATGAGTATACAGCCAATGATGGCGAATAGAACTTGTCGGTATGTGGTTTGATTTCATTTTACTTGTAACGACTGTGTGGTTTACCTTTTCTAAATTGCTAAGTAATCACACGTTGTAAGGAACCGATCTTCTCTGTTTTGGCTAAAGTCCACTCAGCCAAGATAATTCGTTGCTGTCTCATTGGCTATAACCATTCCACTATATTTAATGTGCACTTCTGTTAACCAATATATCTCTAACTTTATTTTTAGCTGCCTCAGCATTGTCCTTGTTCGCGTGTGGCTGCACCTTACGGAATGCTGTGGTCCCCCAAACTGAGGCTGTCAGCGGTTTCTATTTTATCGGGATCAGGGTGGATTTACATCAACCATTTTATTTGCTGTCTACACAGATGCAATTTAGGGCATCATCATGGGACAAGACAAGTAAGTGGAATAACCGTATGTTTCCCGATATCCCTGACCTATTTGGGATAAACCACTTGCTTATTGGGATCTAGGTTGGCCATTTCAGACTTCTCAGGCAAGGAGGAAAATAATTTCGCAATGTCACCATAGGCTGTCGGAAATCTTTCTACTACGCGTGCGCCAATCACATTTGCTCTTCACGTTCACACTGTTTTGACCAATCACCACTGAGACAAATTGGGACACCTCGCTAATGGATGCCCAGTTCTGCTGACATTAAATACGACGCAAAAGGCTCTCGAAAACAGATAAAGCCACTTCGAGTGAACTGAATAATGGCCGCAAATCGGGGATTAAGTGGGCATCGCAAGCGATAGCTGAACTGGACGCAGCATGCGACAAATTTCATTTGGTCATAACACCTTGACTACAAATATTGTAAGCATTACATTAGCATTGTGCTTCAGTCTACTTCGTCTCTCATTTGTGCGAGGAAACAAAACCATCGGGTTGCCACGGCCTCTCTCGATTGACTTTCTTTCCAATTCGAATTATCCGCAATCAACGCCATTGGACTTAACCAAACCTACTCAGCCATCCGAGGTAACCTCAGGAAACCCACAGAAAACATACATGACAAATTGTCGATTGCAACTGGAATGTGCGTCACGGAGAGAGCACTTCCCCACCTCTTCTCTAGCCGCATCAAGTGTAGCGGACAGTCGAATCCGAGTTGCTGTCAGAAGTGCTCGTGGACCTGCTGGGCCAGTCGGGCCACAGGGGTTACGGGGGCCACCCGGGCCTCCTGGTCCTAAAGGGGACTGTGCCAGAGAGTCAAGTGAGTACCTGAGATCTAGTGTGTACTGATGAACAGAAAGAACGTAATTTCGTTCAATGACTAGGACAACCTGCATTGGCTAGCCAAAGTTGTTAGAAATGCTGAATATCATGGCAGCTTACAAATTGGTTTATCTAAGGCAATGTTAAATTATGGAACCTAGGATGTAGTTTTTGTTACGGTTTTCCACTAAGCATCTAGAAACAGGTCATCGATCACTTAGCTATCCACACCAGAAGTCTCAGTTTAATAGCTTACCCAAAAACCAGTTGGAGCCTAAATGCGCAATGTTGAACATGAGGTGGATAGCCTACCACCATAAGTAACAAGGTAAGGGATGACATGAGAACATTATAATCCATTTAACTCAGTGTTCACCATCTTTTAGCATTTCACAGTGATTGTTTTACCGCAGACAGCTTCCTCCAACCCAGTACAGTCAGCATAGTGCAATGCGACATGTGTTCAGGGGATGAACTCCTATCAACACATCGATGACGAAACTGGTAAATTTTTTCTCAATTTCCTTCTTCCACTTTCAAGTACAAAGCAAAAATTACTCAGATTCGCCAACATTACTATCATATGATGGTAATTAAACATTGGGAATCAGATCTGAGAATCACTCCCGTCTTCTGTACGTTGGTAACATGCATAGGATTGGACGGGGACCATCACGCATTGTCACAGCTACTTACTTCATCATTGCGGTTGTCCATGATCCTGAACAATGAGAGGGGATTTATCACGGGATAAAAGCAAGTGCCTGACACGTCCCGTAGGATGGATGGTATAAATAAGATGAAAGCAAATTATATGTGGATCATCTACCGAGCGTCTACCGAGATAAATACGTTGATAAATAACTTCAATGTAAACTAAAAAATCGTGTGTAAGCATTTAGACATACACGAAGTGCATTGGTCTTTGACGTAAAGCATGAGCAAAGTAAAATATGGTTGCTCAATTATCCGCCGCCTTTTTGGGTCCATGTGACACATAAATCCTGTAAAAGGGCATGGTTAAGGTAAGCCACGAGGGCATAGTTTAGGTAACGAAGTGCTGGGAGCAAAGAAGAAGTTCCAATCCATTTTGAAAATGTCCAAAGTAGGGGAGGATACTACTGAGTCTGGGAGTGCGTTCCAGAGCTGACAAACCCGAAGGGCAAAGTAACTCCATCGACAATCTAGACGGCTTTATTGTTCACTCAATTTCAACCAGTTGCCTCTGAGCTGCTTGTTGTGGTTAAGTTTCAGCAAATGGTGGTGCACGTGCTTTAAGTCACTTACTATTTAGGACGCTGATATGAGATCGAGTCGCAGCCCTCGGTAGCGTCCGCTGAAAAGTCCCAGGAACTTCAGCCTTCGGTGGTAAGCGTAATTGCACTGGTCCTTCACGTTCTTTGTTGCTCATCATTGTGCTACCTCTAACGCCTCTAGGTCACTAATCAGCCAAGGTTGCCAAGCTTGGATGGCGTATTCGACGTGACGGCGCACGGAGGGATCGTGGGTCATTTGGAAGATTGATGGATTAAATTTCCAAAATGCCTTTAGAGGCAGACAGTCGTGCTGGTTGTTTTTTTCGCAGCTACCATAATCTGTTTTAAACAGATGAGATCACTCTGTACGAGCACACCAAGGTCACGTTCCTGGGAGCTGGTCTGCAATCCGTGTGCCCTAAGCAAATGCGTGTAATAATGTCTATGGCGTACTTGAACAGCGCGACATTTGTCTACAATCAATGCTAGGGAGTTCTGAGCTGACCAGTTTGTGATGGTGTTAAGTTCGCACTGGAACCTTTCTTGGTCGTCCGGTCCTCTGCTCGTTTGCCATCTTTTCATATCATTTGCGAAGAATAGGAAATCGGAAGCAATTGATCTCGCTAGATAGTTTATGAAGATCAAGAATAGGCGAGGTCCAAGCGTTGAGCCTTGTATTACACCAAACTTCATACCAAATGCTTCGGATAGAGATTCCAGAACTCTCATCTCCCGCCGACGTTCGTGTGGAAAATGGTGTATCTAACTTAGAATCGGGTCGCCAGTGTCATAGTTCTGAGGCTTGTGAAGGATAACACGATGGTCTTAGCGATCAAACGCTTTTGAAAAGTCTAGGTAGATGACATCGACTCCTGCTCAGTCATCAACGCCTTCAGCCTAGCGATTACGTGCAATTAATAAGTTAGTATTATATGAACGCTTTTGACGAAAGCCATGTTGCTCTAGGCTATTAAGCTGTGGCTTCCCAGATACTGCATCAGCGCATCTGCCATGATAGATTCAATAATTTTGGATAGTACGGGAAGTAGTGTTATCGGACGGTAGTTGGTAGGGTCAGTACGGCTACCTCTTTTATATATAGAAGTGATGACCCCTTGCTTCCATACTGTGGAATATGGTTCTCTTCTGGACATCGCTGATAGAAAACAGTCAGTGATTCTGCTAGATCCCTAGCTACTGCCTGTAAAGCCTTCGGTCGAATGTTGTCGTCTCTATGAGAACTGTGGATACGCAAGGATGAGCTTTTCAACGCAGCTACCGCAGTGATGTGGTGTATAAACCTGGCGGTGGAGTAATATATACGAGAAGAATCTTGAGGCTCGTTGCTTGCTGGAAAGTTTGGGAGTAGTGAAGACGTAAAAGACCAGCTGCTTCCATTGCAGACCGCGTACACCCATCAGCCGTGACAAGTGCTGGGTTTCCGCGCATCACCCTACAAAAGCCATTAAGGTTCCTATTTAGGAGTTTGCCATTCGTGCGGTATCGCTTCATTAACTCCTGCGGATGCATCACCTTGTCCTCACGGATCAGTTTCACATAGAACTTACGCTGTGTCAGGTATGCAGTTCAGGTTTCGGCATTCGGGCAGTCTTTGTGGGCTCGTCATGCCAAATCCCTGAGGGACACACAGTTCATTGTTCTGCTCCGCAGAAATGACTTGCTATTTATTTGACGATGGAAGAACTTCTGTTCCAGTACGTGCACTATCAGTGTGCCACAAGTCTTTGTGAAAATTTCCAGGCGATTTCAGGCGGATATTCGGTTAAGAAGGTCCAAGACGTATCCTTAACATGCGTTGATAACAAGGTGTAGTGAGAGGCAGTATAGACTTCATCATCCTCCACGTCAGGATATTCTGGATAGCATACATAGTCAAACAGTAGAGTGCCATGGTCACTGCGACCCAGTAGCGTGCTTGTAATTATTCCGTCGACCATGAGTTTTTCGTTAGTGAGCATAAGTTCAAGTATCGACAGGCTGTTGGCAGTTCGAAAACGGGTGGGAGACTTTACGGGGTTGTCAGTCGCGGACTTGAAAGGGAATCGTCCCTTATTCTGGTCCATAATTGAGCAAGCTTACTTTGGATCAGTCCCGAGAGTATGAACCGAAAGTCTAGTGGTTCTGTGGTTCCGAAATAGATGTCGGACCAAGTGTAACTGTGACAAATATTTTTCTGTGTTAAATCCAATGTTTAGTTTACTGCTCTCTAAATCCAATGTGTCCGCAAAACTATCGGTTCTTAAGACGTACACTGATAATAAAAATATACTGCGAGTGAGACACAATATTTTCCACTTTGAACTTACACTTAATCACATCACTAAATATTAAATATTGTATACATATGCGTGGGTTAATATCAGTGTAAGTAATCACGGGGTTAAGAAGCTCTTTACTATTTTTCGAAATATCAATCAGTGTAAATCTCCCAAAAGATGTTAATTTTTGTTGTAATTTTTGCGATAAATTAAGCTTTTCGAAGCGGTCTGCTGAATCCTTCTTCAGAAATACATTGATTTGATGAGGTGAACAAGTCTGCGACAAGAACCATATTGTAATACCATCGCAGCAGTTTCCGGTAACATTTGGGTTAATGTGTGTGTTTCCGGAGGGTACAGTGGCACGCAACGCTATGGTGTTTCCACACAAGCGATCTGGTGGAAACGTGTGAATTAAGCTTCTGGGCCTGCAAGGATACATCTTTCAATTTGTCATTGATCCAACATTAATGAGTGGACAAACATGTAGTGCGCAACTGAATCCACGCTGTGTGTAAACGTAGCATGAAAGCTGGAGATGTCCCAAGGCGATGTATGCGCGTGTTTCCCCTTACACATTTGCAACGTTTAGTACATGCATTCATTCTGAGCCTAAGAATTGTTTATCCTTCCATAATACTTTTCTGAGGATCCAGTTTCCAAGGCACACGCCCCACCCCAGATTAGTCGTGAGGTCGTTGTAGATTTATATTAGCTGCTTTTAGCAGTCTGGTACGTGGTGCTAGATTCTATAGTGACCACGAAACCAGATTAAAAAGGCTATCTTAACTACATTAGTGGACACCTAGAGACCACGAAGCAAGATATGTGCGCACTGCCTGAATCCTTCTCAGCACGAATGCGACGCTAACAACATTGTCCGATGGGGCAGGGGTTTAAGTGGTTAGGGTAAACAATGGAATCATGGTATAACAAGGATAAAATAAATCAAAGGCCCGCGGAATGCTTTGTGCGAATTATATAATTTCGAAAATGTGACAGCAAAGTGCAATGCACATCTGTGGACTCACCAGATTATCCACGATTTCGTGGGGTCTGGTGAGCACAGTGTTTGTCTACATCTTACTGCCACTCAATACGCGGTAGTCAAATGTCATAGTACAGATTGTGTAAAGTATCTTAAAGTCGTTTTTTAGGAAGGGTTTATGTGGACGAATAAATGGCATAAACCGAAATTGCGTTCCAAGGTTGACAAATTCTGCGAAAAATTAATTCCGCCAACATTCCAGCCGACTGTATTCGGTGGCCAACTTCAACTGATGACTTCTCTGTTTTGTGCTCGGGTTAAATCTCAGAACGTGGTGGAATAAGTGACTGGGATTTTTTAAATATCTGGTACAACAGAATGAGGACATCCCGTAGACGGCGATACCTTCTGCTCTACATCCCAAAGGCTTTCAGTCGCAGATGGTACGGCAAATGGGATAAGCATTTCACATTTT